TTCTGCACCGGATAAAACCCCCTGCATGGTGTGAGGAGAGGGACCCACATCCACAGATTGGTCCATATTTCCTGGAAAATTGAGATCTTTGACATAACGCTGCTGTAAAAATAAAGTTTTCTGTGTTTATTCTGACCATTCGAGCAGATTACCGCAACTGAAGCGACTCCATAATCTCTATGTATATAAGGTCGTCAGCTTGATAAAGTTAAAAGCAGGGCTGTTTTCAAAGGAATAGCCAAACGTTTTACATTTCAGAAGGCTAACAAGCAGTTATCTGACTTGTTTTGCTTCTAATGTTATCATTGTAGACGTCCAAGTCCAGAGATGAAAAGTGCATGCACAGAAACAGGTCGTACACAAAGAATACTGACTCCATAAACGTATTGGTTGTTTTTATACTGAAAAGAATGTGCCTGTTTTGGCCTTGTATGTTATACTTGCTCCTTATTATGCAAAAATCAGGAGTTTTATTCATGCTAAAGTTGGGGATTTTAGACTTATTTTCTTATCATGCTAAATGTAGATATTTTATTCTGCTTCTTTTTATGCTACAGTTAGAGAGTTTATTTTAGTATTGAGTTTGTATACATTTGTCTTGTGCTGTGTGTGTCATGGTGTGTCAGTGATTAGGTAAGCATGTTTATTAATATAGCGCTTTTTTCTGACCATTCATATTATGCATGTTTTTTGTGGTAGGGGAAACCGGAGCACCCGGAGGAAACATGCAAACTCAACTCAGAAAGGCCCTATTCCAACCAGGATTCCAACCCAGGACTTCCTTGCTGAGAAGCGAGAGTGCTAACCACAGCGCCACCATGCCATCTGTCGTCCTTGATACTGTCAACATTTACTTATTAAATGTGACTGGCAAAATGTCTTGACTAACTCCAACTAAATTGAGTTTTTTTGCAAACTTCTACCCTAAAAAAACAGGCAAAACTTCTGCAAAACTCTAATCAAAGTGAGTCACCGATGTAATAACAAATAAAAGACATGGTCGCTCTTGTTACCAACACAGACAGGCCAAATATCATTACGTTTTGACAGAGGCTTTCTCTCTGGAGACATTGTGAATTTTAATGACGGTGTGACAAGTTCTAAAATAATGACACAAGCACTTCAGCCGAGATAAGCCTGAATTGTCAGAGCAGCGCGAGACTCATTGTTGGAAGCATGCAAATGGCTAAAGGGAAATTGGACAAAGCAGTGCGGGCCGCTCCACAGCCACAAGTGTCACAGTAACGAGTGAAAAACAAATGACAAAAAAGTCCAAGCTCGTAACTGAATCGGGGCCGACAGCCAGGAGAGTTATGGCTCATTTTTACTAATCTGACGTCCGGGGCCTCATGACTCACGCAGAGCAGCCTCTTCATGTGGTTACCTCGTCTGAAGGCTCCATAGCACCACACGGTACACTATACTGAGTCACAGAAATGGCTGGTTTTATCTCGGAGCTAATGGCAAAAATAATCATGAATGTTTTGATTTAAAAAGCACTGTTTTTGGACACTCAAAGACGCTTCACAAGTCATTAATCGTGCATTCAAAACACGGTGGTGATAAACTACTACTGTCGCCACAGATGCCCTGGGGCACACTGACAGAAGCGAGGCCACCAGTCTGTGCCATCGGCCCCTCCCACCACCACCAACCACTCACGCACACACCAGACTCATTTCTAGGTCAATATGTCTTGCCTAAGGACAGAGCGACGGCCCTACTGTGGAACCTGGTGTTTCCGGGGGTCTCCCATCACAGCACTAACTAGGCCCTGCCCCGCTTAGCGTCAGAGGTCCGATTTGGCTTTCACATGTAGGTAATTGCTCATATGTGTTTGTTAAATTAGATTAAGATTAAGAGATCCTTTATTCGTCCCACAGCGGGGAAATTTCAGTTTTTTTTATTGATTGTGTTCAAAAACGGTTTGATTCTCTGATCTGTTGTAAAGTCCTCCGAGACGACTCCTATGGTGATGTAGGGAATTAATTGTGGGATGAAATACTTCCTACGAGTTGTTTGGTGTGAATAGAAAATAAAAAGTTTTCCTTCTTATTCACACAAACTCAACAATTTCCATGATCTCTGGGCAACGGCCTAAATGACGAGAACGAGAACCCAAGCTGTGGTGGCTCATTTAAAGAAAGCCACAGTGAGCCAGGTGCAAAAGTTCTTCTGACACTGAGACCAGGGAGCCGTAAATCCATTTATTGAACAAAAATAATAATAGAAAATGAACATTGCAGTCCTCCACAGTTTGCAGGTAGAAAATCTGTCTTCTCCCACACCTGCACTCAAACTGATGACATCAGAGCAGTCTAAATAATGGGAGTGTCTCTGATTTTAAAGCTGCTCTACGTGTTTTTAAACTTAGATATTCTGCAATTGCCTTTTACAGTTTTTAATCATTATGACATTTATTAACATATAGTATTTTGGAATCTTTCTTTAACTTAAGAATTTGAACCGTTTAACTTTAACTTTTTAGGGTTTTAACCATTTTTAACATATAATCTGATTGACCTTTTAACAAAAAACTGTTTAAACTTTAACTTTAACTTTAAATTAAACACTTTTTAGCATTTTAACTGCTTTGGCTCTCACACAAGCGAGCAAACTAGCCTGGAGCTCGGAATAGAGCCACTCCTCCATATTCAGTGGAGCAGGCTGAGGTGACTCGGGCCTCTGTTCTGGATGGGAGGTGTTCCGGACATTTCCCACTTCAGCAGAACCTGGGACTGAGCCAGGACTCGCTGGAGGGACCACATTTCAGCTTGACCTATGAACACCTTGGCCTTCCTCCCGGAGCTGCTGGAGGAAGAGTGCATGCTGGGAAGTCTGACCTGGCCCCGAGTGAAAGAAACGCAATGATATTCATTTTGCGGTGGCATCAAAAGCTCTCTTTGGTTTGTGTTGTGAAAACAGATTGGCATTTATAAAGACATATTAGTAGCATAGATTAAAAACAGCCAAATATTGTTTGTAAAATACCATATTGTAAATTTGCCAATTTGTAAAATAAATAAGTCAGGGCTAGTAAAGGTAGGAAATATCATCAAAATTCAGCTTGAAATGTTTTATGTTTGGTATTTTTGAATCACAGGTAAATTTGACCAGATGAAACCTTGCCTTATCCATCCGTACACTCCGCTCAATTATCATTTCCCTGCATGTAACGTCTGGGTCTGGTCCCTGTGTTTACGATTACAATTGGTTGAATTCCATCCGACCAATCAGAGAGCGCGGGAGGCGGGTGTTGTAGATAGATGTGGGTGACGTCAAGAGTTTGCGTCGAACGGGCAGGTTGTAGTTTGGCAATGGCGAACAATGTGATAGTAAAGTAATCCGGTCTGGTTCTATCGAGAAATTGAAGCCGGAGCAAGAGGAATGTTTAGCAAATGAAATCGCTGGCAAGGATTGTGGCGCTACTCCCCACGGGCTCCGTTAGCGGCAAAGGAGATGGCTAAAGCAAGGCTAAATGCTAACAACTCACTCGGGCGCACTACATACTGTACGTCACGGTAAACTCAGATCCAATCGTTTCAATCTGCAAAAGGCATTAACCCCTCCCACCTGTAAACGGAGCTCAATGGAGCAAATCCAGACCTTAGTACGAGATGTAATTTGTACTATGGTGTGGTACGACCAGGATAGCACAAACGTGTAATGCAAAAGAAAATCCAGAGAAAACACAAAAAGTAACCCAACAGGGACAGACGACAAGAACTAAAACAAACGAGGAATGACAACGATGGAAGAAAGAGTGAAGGACGTCAGACGGTTTATAAGAAACACAAGACTAACGAGGAACTGGTGAGACAAATGAGGGCGGGGCTTGTAATCAGGAAACAGGAAGTAGAACTAAAGAAGACACAAGGGAGGACAAACAAAACAAAAAAAAACGATAAAAAACCTAAACCGTGACACTGTTCAAGTCCCGGCAGTCTTTCTGACCCCTGCCCTGCCACGTCAACACAGTCTTCTGCAGAGAGACACGATCATACGGTATTTATGTGTCGCAGCCATGTAATAAAGCTTTAGCATGCACCAAGGAGTCAATGGAAACACTCAAGTCCACACACTCCACACAAGCAGAACACTCGGATCAGACTTCCCTTAGAGTGGTTTGATAATTGTCGATGTACTGTCGATCACTCACTCATACATACACATTACATTTTGATAAAAATCACTCTTACATACACATTACATATACACTTGTCTGTCCATTCCCAGCTCTATATTAAGCCTCACTGGTGAACAGAAATGGAATAGGATATTAAGAGTGGATTATCCGAGAGCTGGCGTCACCCGTGTCCAATTTGCCGAACGTGGAAGAAGCAGATTTGAACATAGGCTAGCTGGAGCCAATTTCCTTATATGGGCATTTCTTCCACGGGGTAGGCTTTGCGGGCAAAACAAAGGCAATTTACAAAGGCATAATCAAAACACCAGGATCTCAGAGAGCACTAAAACAAAGATTAAAAAAACACAAACAGTTATTGAGCTGGACAAGTTTACTTTTCAATGTAAGTCAATAGGAGCAAAACGTCATCCATGAGCACTTCCCTATTGGACTGCGTTGAAATGCAGCAAAAGTCTAATTTGATTAAACAAATTATGAGAATCTGTGTGAGTGAATCATTGAAGAATCATGAAAATGCGTTGGTTGTGAATTGAATCAATACCTTAAAGCTGGGGTACCTAACTTTCACAACACAAAACATACCATAGAATCCATCTAACGAATTCCAAACTCCCCAGTTCATATGCATTGTTTTGGTCTCCGTCACATCTTTCGATCAAGATTAATTAGAAAGGACCAGAAGCAGTTTTTTTTTATAATATATCTGGTTTGTCCAAGAAATGTCCCTTTTACAAGACGTGAAACTCCTTCACTACCAACCACCAGCGTCCAGCAAAATCCAAGCCATGTCATCACAATACATCTGCTTTAAGTGGAATTTCTCCCCAGTATTTGCAAACCCAGCAGCTCCAGTTCACAGCACATACACAGCAGCGTCGTGGGACTCACTGGTCGTGTTGTATTTGACGCCATTGATGGACTCCGGACAGGGCCGCTCCACGATCCTCCCGATGCTGGTGCGGGGCCAACAGGTGCCGATCTCGTCTATGGTGGAGTTGCAGTACAGGCCTGCGGGAGGGGGAGAGGCGGTTTTAAAGGGGACGTCACATGACATTCAAAAACAGCTTTCAGACCACGTTGTAGTTGTCATGGTGTGGACCTTATGGATTATTTTGACCTGGTTTTATTTTACTGTTGTAATTTTTAGTTTGCTTCTTATGTGTCCTGTTGATTGTTAGCCCCGCCCTAATGTGATTTACCTGTGTTCACTATGTGTATTTATACCCCGTGCTTTCCCCCCACTTGTTGTCCGTCCAGTGTCTCCACCGTGTTTGTCCCTGTCTAGTTTTTCAGTTCTGGATTTTTGTGCTTTTTGTCTCTCTGGATTAGAATTGTGTTACATTTAAATAAAGTATCTCTTAATCTGTTCATCTTAATCTACATTTGATTTTCAATCCTGCATTTTGAGTTCAGTTTTTTCTTCATTTCGCCACCTGACAGCAGTAGGGATGTCAGCTTTGGTATAGTGGGGAAAACGGTCAATCCAAGTCGACTAAAATATGTTTTTAGTCAACTTGTTTATACCATAGACTGTAAATATTATCGGACAGAGTCACGCCTATCTCCGCCGTTCTAACTAATGGGCCAAAAATAGTGCTCTACTGGATCTATCCAAAATAGTCCCGCCCACAAGAAAATTGTGAAAAAACGCATCTGCGCATGCGTCAGCTGGCGAGAGCTCCATTCATTTAAACGAGTGCCTTCCAAAATTCACAGCAAGTAAATTAGACTGGTTCAAAAAATTCACTCCCCTCAGCCTTGACACACATTGAGCTTGAGCTTTGGACTAAGAGCCAACTTTTGGACCATCCTGTAAAGGTTTTTTCGAGAGGTAAGAAGATGCTATATGTTAGCATTGGCTAATTCTTATTCCGGGTCCACCCCCATCGGCCCGGGGTGGTATTGCAAGCATGTCAGCGCACGTGATTTTGGCCACTTTTAAGCCGGGACCCGCCCCCACTGGTTTATACCAAGAAAGATCATGTTAAGAATTGTCCTGTTTACATTAAAATACTTAGATTTCCTCAGCTAGCACATTCTCTGCTGCCCTTTTTTCACAATAGACTTTATGTCAAACTTCAAACTGTGTCCTGTCCCCGGGTCCCAGTGCAGCAGGTGTGGGACAAGAGGGTTCTGGACAAACTAACTATTCTGAACCACGACTACATCAAGTTTTTGTCTGTGCTCATCTTTTGTCGTCTATAAGCATTTCTCAAGTCGACCACAGCCATTTGATCCTTCGATGTTGGCTCTTCCTATCATTGTGAAGCAGAATTCACCAAGCGTTGGATTGTTCACCCGCGAATAGGGAACGTGAGCTGGGATTAGACCGTCGTGAGACTAGTTTTACCCTATACTGACGATGTGTTGCTGCAATATTACCCCTTTAACTCCTGTCATTCAGCTTACGATGTGAAACTAATAAATAACAGACTTATTGTGCGGTGAAAATATATCAATGTATTTGTTATAATGTTGATCAGTGGCTCACAGCTTGTAAAAAAATAAAAATAAAACAGAATAAAACATGTACAAAAATGACAATATTTCTTCAGTGCTAAATCTCCTCCTACTCTTTTGAAGCCTCATGTTCTGACTGTACGCCTTGTCAATAATCGTTTTGTGTGTTTTTGTAATTGACCAACTCTGAATGGAATATCTTGTGTGTGTTTTAACAGATGCTAAAACAAAAAATAAAAAAATGAGCCTTAATCATCAACATTATAACAAACCTGGAATTAAATGAGTCCATTGGTCTATCTGTCTGATGTGTATTTTCAAAGTATCAGCCTCTGAGTCCAAGAGACATTTCCTCCGGGACATAATATTATATTAGTTTGTCTCTTGAATCTTGAATTTTAGGCTGAATTACAGAAACATTTTTTTTTTCAATCTTTTGAAGTCTTCTCCTCTCAGTCTCAGTGCATGGGGCTGTTTTTACTGACACAAACTTGTATCAATCCGGCAGATGTCATTGTATCTGCGTTTCCCAATCTGTGGTACATGGACACAAGAGTACAAACCAGGGGGGACAGAGATTTCAGATTCTAAAACGATGGAAAAGTGAATAGAAAACACTTATAACAGCTACTTTATGACCAGTTTCTTGTTTTTTGGACAGAAACAGACAATATACAATAATATATGTATATGTATATGTATTTACAATCACAGGTACGGTATGTAATCAATCAATCAATCAACGTTTATTTGTAGAGCGCCTTTCCTACACAAGGCAACGCAAAGCGCTTCACATCCCCTATCACATCATGCATAAATCAAACACATTAAGAGCACAAGATATATTAAAAACATTAAAAATAAAATCACAAAAATTAAAAACCTTTAAACATTAAAATCACAGATGGGACTAAAATCATAAATAGTCACAGTGCATTAAAAAGATTAAAGATAAAAACAAAGATGAAAAGATAAAATCATTCAGTTGTATATGCGCAGCTAAACAGAATTGTTTTGAGCCTAGATTTAAAAGATGCCAGAGTAGACGCCTGTCTCACATTCTCAGGAAGACGGTTCCAGACTCTAGCCGCATGAATCTGAAATGCAGTTTGCCCATGTCTAGTACCGACTCTGGGCACTAACAGGAGTCCAGTCCCTGTGCTCCTCAGAGTCCGGGTCGGTTCATATGGCACAAACATGTCATGGATGTACCTTGGCGCGAGACCATGGAGAGACTTGTACACAAGTAAAGCTGCTTTGAAGTCTATTCTCTGAGGAACAGGAAGCCAGTGCAGAGACCTGAGAACTGGACTAATGTGGTCGTACTTCCTAGTTCTGGTCAGGACTCGAGCTGCTGCATGTTGAATGTACTGCAGCTGTTTTACAGCCTGTTTGGACAGACCTGTGAGCAGGCCATTGCAATAGTCTAACCGACTGGAGACAAAAGCGTGTATAAGAGTCTCCAAGTCTGCCTTAGACACTATGTTTTTAATTTCAGCAATGTTTTTTAGGTGGTAATAAGCTGCTGATGTTACAGATTTTATGTGGCTTTTGAAATTTAAGTCTGAGTCCATTATCACTCCTAGATTTCTGACCTGATTTGAGGGTTGTAGAGAGAGAGCCTGGAGGTGACAAATAACGCTCTCTCTTTGTTTCTGGGGTCCGAAAACAATTATTTCAGTTTTGTCGGTGTTTAGTTGGAGAAAGTTATTTTGCATCCAATCACCGATTTGCTGGACACAGTGAAGGAGCGAGTCCACTGGTTCATGCTCTCCTGCTGTCAGGGACACATAGACCTGAGTATCGTCAGCGTAATTGTGATAAGAGACATTATTACTGTGAATCAACTGACCTAGAGGCAACATGTAAATATTAAACAGAAGAGGACCCAGGATTGACCCCTGTGGCACTCCGCAGGTCAGGGCCAAGTGGTCTGAGGTACAGTTTTCGATCTCAGCAAAAAACTTTCTGTCTTGTAAATAGGACCTAAACCAGCTTAGGGCGGTGCCAGCAACACCAACCCAGTCCTCAAGTCTCTGAATGAGGATGCCATGATCAATAGTGTCAAAAGCAGCACTTAAATCTAACAGAAAAAGGACTGAGACTTTTCCTGCGTCAGTGTTTAGTTTGATGTCATTTGTTACCTTTATTAGCGCGGTCTCAGTGCTGTGGTGGGGTCTAAACCCTGACTGGAACATATCATAAGCGTTATTGATTATTAAAAATTCTGTAAGTTGTTTATAGGCAACTTTTTCTAGAATTTTTCCCATGAAAGGCAGATTTGAAATGGGCCGATAATTTTTGAGTGCCAGGGCTTCCAGACTCCTCTTTTTTAGGAGGGGCCTGATGACCGCCGTTTTCAAGGCCATTGGGAATGTTCCAGATTCAAGAGACATATTAACTATTTGTGTAAGTGAAGGTAAAAGACTGCTCAGAACTGACTTGAGAAATCTAGGAGGTAATACATCCAGGCTGCATGTGGAGGAACTCAGACTAGTGATTATCTCCTGGACAGTTTCAATTTGTACTGGTGTAAAGTGCGTCAGCCCAAAAAGCCTCACTGGCGGTTGGATTATTATTTCTATCGTGGAGGTGATGGCGTTTTTGATACCTTGGACTTTGTCATTAAAGAACTGAGCAAACTCATTACATTTAGATTTGGAAGTAAGATCTGATGGCATCTTAACAGGGGGATTCGTCAATCTATTTACTGTTGAAAACAGAACACGTAGATTGTTGCTACAGCCTTCAATAGTTTCAGAAAAGTACATTTCCCTCGTTCTACGTAGTTCCCTGTTAAAATTGCACAACGCATCTTTGAAGATCTCATGGTCAACTTTGAGATTTGACTTTCGCCACTTCCGCTCGGCCTTCCGGCACTCTCTCTTCTGTGCCCTGACCGAGTCTGCTTTAGTCCATGGCGCTTTTTGCTTGTTTGTAACTATTTTAACCTTTACAGGAGCAATTGTATCCAGAACATTCAAAACAGTGGTGATGACAGAATCAAGTAATTCATCTACAGTAACACACAACGTGTTCTCAAAGTTTACCCTCCCCATGAACAGTTCGCCTGTATTATCATTTATGTGTCTTCTTCTAACAACCGAAGATTCAGCTGGTGGTTTACAATCAAGACACATGTCAAAAAATACACAGAAATGATCAGACAGAGCAACATTGACCACATTTACATTTGAAATATTAACCCCCTTGGTAATTAACAGATCGAGAGTGTGTCCTCTGCTGTGGGTGGGGCCACTCACATGCTGAGTGAGAGCAAAGGTTTCCAGCACAGAGCTCAGCTCTATTGCATATCTATCATTAGCATTATCTACATGTATATTGAAATCACCTACAATGACCAAACCATCAAAATCTGTGCACACAACTGAAAGCAACTCAGTGAAATGATCAGTGAAACTATGGCATGACTGTGGCGGCTTGTACACAACAATAATAAGAATGGAAGAAGATTTCTTTTGTTCTATTTTAAAAGAAACATACTCAAATGATGAAAATTTCCCAAGAGACACTCTATGGGAGACAATACGATCTTTAAAAACTGCTGCTATGCCCCCCCCCCCTTTTATTTTCTCGTGTTTCATATTCAAATTTGAAATTTGGTGGTGAGGCTTCTATTAAAACTGCATCTCCTGTATTATGGTCAAGCCATGTTTCAGTCATAAACATAAAATCAAGATCATACGAACAGATAAAATTATTAATTAAAAATGATTTGTTGCATAGTGATCTGACATTAAGTAGAGCAAGGTTAAAATTAATATCAGTGTCAATGGGTTTAGTTGATTGATTACAAAGAACTGGAATTAGATTTCCAGAGTTGAACCGTCTAACTGCTGTCCTTCTTTTAAATTTGTGTTTATTCAAGTTAAAACACATTTCTGAGCTGGTGCGAGAAACACACACAGTCTCTATTGGTTTAAAAACTGAACTCTGTTGTACTTTGTTAAGTTCCAGATGCATAACTGAGTCAGCACAGTTCAGTGGCAGGACTGTCGTTACACTGCCAGACTGACAGGGGTCAGTGTTTGCACCACAGTACTCACCCGGTGCTGGTAAGGAGGAGGAGGAGGGGGGTGGTGGGGGCCGAGAAGCCTCGGATGTAAACAGTCACGCCCCCCTCGGGGAGCACTGAACAACATGGCGTAGGAAGTCCGTCAACAAACTGGTGCCGTATCTGTTCGGGTGCAGACCATCTGGACGATAGGCCACGTGACGCTTCCAGAACAGGCCAAAGTTGTTCACAAAAATAAAGTTAAAAGTGCTGCATGTAGACTGGAGCCACATGTTGAGCGCCACAACGCGACTGTACAAGCAGTCTCCCCGGTTTACAGTCGGGACTGGACCAGAGATAAAAACACACAACCCGAAGGACTGGAGGAGGCGGAAAAGATCCATAAAATGCTTCTTTGTGACCTCGGACTGCTGCAGCTTCATGTCGTTGATCCCCACATGCACGATTACCTTTGAAATGGTATCAGGCAGGGACTGAAGCAGAGGAGGGAGACGGATGAGCAGGTCTGGAACAGTGGCTCCGGTAATGCAGTGAGTGACCGCGTTAAAAAAGCGGACGTGCCTCACGATGGAATCTCCAACAATCAAAGTAGTCGGGGCGAAGAGTGGACGCGGCCGCGGAGAGGGCGCTCGGTGTCCATGGCCAGAACCAGCGGGCTCATCCAGGGATGGGTCCGAACCAGGGCGCTGCTGAACACATGGAGAGGAGTGGGGGTGTTGATTCCCAGCTCCGGGCAACCCACGCTGTGTGCTCGGGGACGCTGGAGCGGCGTGAGGAGCAGGCTCGGATCGCTGCTGCTGACCCGGTGAAGGTAAGTGGTGGTGATGCACTGGGGTCAGAGAAGGGGAATGACCACTCTTTCGTCTGAGGACAGCTTCCTTTAAGAGTGTCTTTCTCGCAGTGGACCTGGATCCACGGACAGCAGTAGAGTTTGCTGCAGAGTCCAGGGGTTCTGCTGAGGGGGCTGGAATGTCAGCGGAGAGGGCTGCATAGCGGTTTGAAAGGCTCAGGACATGGGCCACGGCGCTGGATGGCTCCTCGCAGTCCGCAGGCTCTTTATTCCGAACCGGGCACTTAGGTGTAGAGCAAGAGGGCCCAGAGCTGACAGATCTCTCCCACACGACAGTGTCACAGTATGCAGCGCTCAGTGACATGAGTGCTGCCCGCCAGCGACATCAAAAAGTTTGGACACGAGTGACTGTTTATCCTGCAGCTCTGCAGTGAGGCGAAGGACTTCTTTACGGAGGTCTGCAATAGTGGCACGGTCCCTCTCACGAAGCTCCAATGTGAGGCGACTAATGTCGTTCGTGGTCATTGCAGTGTCACTTTCCATGTCTGTGGTGCGCTCGTGGTAGCCTCCGAGCTAATGATTAATATTACTATTGATAAAAAAAATAGTTCCCTGTATGTTTAAACATTTAGGAGAAGTGTAACATTACTGAATCCCACATCAACATATGTGTTCATAAAAAGTGATATTTATAACAAGTTTATAAATGATTTGTGGGGCTTTAACTCAATGTTTTAGGCGTTTTGTATTATTTCTTAAAATCAACATTTCCCATAGAACTCAGTGGTATAGAGGCTACTTTTATTTACTTATTTCAAGGAAGATTGTTCTCATGAAAGAATGGCAAATATTTTGTCTTCATTCAAGAAACCGTAACTACTGTATAAGGATTTAAAACCAGGGGAAAATGTGTAAACCACATATAGATTAAGAGATTAAGAGATCTTTTACTCAGTTACTCAATTTCAGTGTTGTATCACTAGTTACAGAACAGTAGGAATGAGGAACACACAGCACAAGATAAATGATCAATAACTCTCTGAATAAAGTAAATGCAAATCTCTTAACTCTAGCATGAATAAGAGACAAGTATAAAATCTCTATTTTTTAGCAAAGTCTAAAAGTCTGACTCTTGTTTTTAACTACAGAGAACAGTCGGCTGAATTCAAGTACAGTATGTTCAAGTGACAATGGTATATTTCTGTTATGTATAAGTGACATTTAAAAAGTGAAAAGTCTACATTCAAAGTCAGGAGCTGCAGATACAGTCCCCATCAACGCGCGCGTGTGGAAAGACCTGTACTTGTGCCGACCCTACCTTCTGCGCTCAGCAAAGCCAGAGACGCGTTCTCCAAAAGCGACTCTTGAAAAGCGTCTAACAAAGTGCAGTTAAGGTCCCCCAGCTCCGTGAAGATGATGTGGTAAATGGTGGCATCCATGGTCCCGCTCGGCACGCGTCTTCAGCCCGCGCCGCGAGAGGAGCCGTGCGCGCAAAGCGGAGACAGGACGCGCTATGGAGCAGAGCAGCGCTGAAGCCCAGAGTGAGGAAGAGGAAAGAGAGAGAGAGAGAGAGAGAGAGAGAGAGGTGTGTGTGTGAGAGAGAGAGAGGAAGAGGAGAGGAGGGTGGGTGTATGTGTGTATATGTGTGTGAGAGTGAGGAAGAGGAGAAAGAGAGGCGTGTGAGAGAGAGAGGAAGAGGATAGGACATGAGGGGGTGTATGTGTGTGAGAGTGAGGTAAAGGAGAGAGAGAGGAAGAGGAGAGAGAGGAAGAGAAGAGGGAGGGTGTGGGGGTAAGAGAGAGAAAGGAAGAGGAGAGAGGGTGTATGTGTGTGAGAGTGAGGTAGAGGAGAGAGAGAGGTGTGTGAGAGAGAGAGAGAGAGGAGGGGGGGTGTATGTGTGTATATGTGTGTGAGAGAGAGAGGAAGAGGAGAGGACAGAGGGGGTGTATGTGTGTGAGAGTGAGGTAGAGGAGAGAGAGAGGTGTGTGAGAGAGGAAGAGGAGAGAGAGGAAGAGAAGAGGGAGGGTGTGGGGGTAAGAGAGAGAAAGGAAGAGGAGAGAGGGTGTATGTGTGTGGGAGAGGAAGAGGAGAGAGAGAGGTGTGTGTGAGAGAGAGAGAGGAGGGGGGGTGTAAGTGTGTATATGTGTGTGAGAGTGAGGAAGAGGAGAGAGAAAGGTGTGTGAGAGTGAGGGAGAGGAGAGAGAGGTGTGTGAGAGGGAGAGAGGAAGAGGAGAGGTGTGAGAGAGGAAGAGGAGAGGAGAAGAGGGGGTGTGTATGAGAGTGAGGTAGAGGAGAGAGAGAGGTGTGTGAGAGAGCTCAGGAGAGGAAGAGGAGAGAGAGGTGTGTGAGAGGGAGAGAGGAAGAGGAGAGGGGGGTGTGAGAGGTGAGAGAGAGAGGAAGAGGAGAGGGGGGTGTATTTGTGTGTGAGAGTGAGGAAGAGGGGGTGGGTGTATGTTTGTGTATATGTGAGAGGGATTGAGGAAGAGCAGAGAGGTGTGTGAGAGACAGAGGAAGCGGAGAGAGAGAGAAATGTGTGTGTGTGTGTACGTGTTTATTTGTGTGTTTGTGTGAGGGAGAGAGGAAGAGGAGAGAGGTGTGTGTTAGACAGAGGAAGAGGAGAGAGAGAGGTGAGACAGAGTTGAAGAGGAGAGAGTGGCGTGAGAGAGAGGAAGAAGAGAGAGGTGTGTGTGTACGTGTTTGTTTGTGTGTTTGTGTGAGAAAGAGAGGAAGAGGAGAGAGAGAGAGGAAGAGGAGAGAGCCCACAGCGTGTGTCCAATCACAGCAAGGATGGGGGATGCTGTGATTGCGTCCCTTTGCTGCCTCCACTCGAGGCCTTCGTCTGTTCAAAAAATATATAAAAAAAAAACAATCCATAATTCCTCATTGTCAAAACATTGTGGCTCAACCTACAGTGTATTTTTTTACATTTTTTGCCTCATTTTGGGCCTCTGGATCAGAAAAGAGGAAAACCCACACTCAGCCAATCAGCTCTCAGTATGTACAGGTATATTTGATTTGTTTAGTTCTGGGTTTTCTCTTTCTGTGTGGACCTTTCTGTGTTTATGAAACCAAAAAAAGCTGGGGAATCTAGCTTTAAAGGATTATATTACAGTATCATTATCCGTCACATTCAGGCCTAAGCAAACACGCTTTGTTTTTAACTAGTTGCCAAAATATAATTAATTTGAAGTGACAATTGATGTATTTTTTGCTGTGTATAAGTGACAATTCAAAAGTGAAAAGTGTACATTCAAAGTAAAGAGATGGGGATACAGCTCTGGTTCCTCCCATCAACGCGCCCATGTGTAGAGACCGGTACAGAAATGATTAGACCCAAAAAAAACTGAGAAATCCGTACAATAGACATAATCTATTGTACAGGGTTTTTTAATTATGACGTAAAAGTTATTTCAAATTTGATGCATGGAGAAATGTTCATTGTCCCAGTAGGAAAATTGTCCTCTGCCTTCATGACCCATCCTTCCATATACTGTATCATTTTAATTATAATCACTCTTTTTGACACAGCGTCATCTAAGTAATATTTGTGTATGAAAAATCCCTGTGGTCCCGGCCCCGCTCCTGCTCCTGAGTTTCAGATTGTGTTTGAGGATTTGACCCCAGCTGCTGTGTGTTGGAAATGTCTCTCTATTGTCACAGTTTTTAAAGTAGCAGAAGGAAAGAGGAACACACAACACCTTCAAAGAGTAGCACACAACACCTTCAAATAGGAACACACAACACCTTCAAAGAGGAGCACACAACACCTTCAAAGAGGAACACACAACACCTTCAAAGAGGAGCACACAACACCATAATCTTAACAGAAGATTTGCCACATTTTGCAGGTTCAAGAGAAAGAAAAGTCTGTAGTTCTTTGCTGCTGCTTCTGCTGCTTCTGCTGCTGCTTCTGCTGCTTCTGCTGCTGCTGCTGCCGCTGCCGCTGCCGCTGCCGCCGCTGCCGCTGCTGCTGCTGCTTCTGCTGCTGCTGCCGCTGCCGCTGCCGCTGCCGCTGCCGCTGCTGCTGCTGCTTCTGCTGCCGCTGCCGCTGCCGCTGCTGCCGCTGCCGCTGCCGCTGCTGCTGCTGCTGCTGCCGCTGCTGCTGCTGCTGCTGCTGCTGCTGCTGCTGCTCTCTGCTGACCGACTGTGACGGGAGGCTCCTGAACACACCGCCGACTCAGCCAATGTGACAGGTCACACCTGCCCCCGTGTGTCACAACTGTGTGTGTGCGCTCGCAAGTTTGTGTGTGTGTATATGTGTGTAGATGTGTACAGATGTGTGTGTGTGTGTGTTTGCGTGTGTGCAAGTTTGTGTGTGTGTTAATGTCTGTGTATGTGTGCGTGCTATGTGTGTGTGTAGGTGTGTGTGTACTGTATGTCTGTGCAGACGTGTGTATGTATGTGCGTGAGTATGTGTGCGTGCAAGTTTGTGTGTGTGTGTATAAGTATATATATGGTATGTATGTGTGTGTATGTATGTGTGTGCGTGTGTGTGTGTGTGTGTGTGTGTGTATAAGTATATATACGGTATGTGTGTGTGTGTGTAGCTGAGGCTGAGCAGAGCAGCAGGACCAGCACGAGCCTCAGCTGCTCCTCCTCAGCGGCTCCAGAGCGTGAGGCCAGTGTGCAATGAAAACATGACAAAGAAAGAAGAGGAGAAAGTCTTCATAAAAATTTTGGATGAAGTGAGAAAAGTCCGAGTCTTTTTCATAAAGTCCTGTTTAGGGTTCGACAGTGACACAGGAAGAGACCAGATATTGTCTCTCCATCTAATTTTCTTTGTTCATCCTTTCACAACGTTTTAACTGATCAACATTTAGTTTTCTGTCCATGCTGTTGACTATGACGCTGATTAAGATCACAATATCAAGCGATCCTATGTATGTCCTAGTCTGGCCTTATCCATCCGTACACTCCGCTCAATCATCATTTCACAGTGTGTAGCGTCTGGGTCTGGTCCCTGTGTTAACGAATACAATCGGTCGTATTTCGACCGGCTACTCAGAGAGCGCGGAAGGCGGGTGTTGTAGGTCGGTGCCGGTGACGTCAAGAGTTTGCGCCGAACGGGCAGGTTGTAGTTTGGCAATTCAGATTCAGTTTATTTGCCATTTGCAGTAAAAAAAAAACCACATTGGAATACATTAGCAAAAGTCTCCAGTGTGCACAGACAAATACAGACAATAAAACTATTACTAATTACTAAAGATTACTAAAGATTACTAAAACACAGAAATAAAACAAATAAAACAGTAAACATGGCGAAGAATGCGATAGTAAAGTAATCCGGTCTGGTTCTATCAAGAAATTGAAGCAGGAGCAAGAGGAATGTTTAGCAAATGTAATCGCTGGTCAAGATTGTGGCGCTACTCTCCACGGGCTCCGTTAGCGGCAAAGAAGATGGCTAGGCTAAAAGCTAACAACTCGCTCGGGCTCATTACATACATCACAGTAAACTCAGATCCAATGGTTTCAATCTTCCAAAGGAGTTAACCCCTCCCACCTGTAAACAGAGCTCAATGGAGCAAATCCAGACCTTAGTATGAAATGAAATTTGTACTAAGGTGTGGTACGACCAGGCTATGTATGTCCCAGGGTGGGGGGATTTCAGTGTTGCATCACAAGTTACAGAACAGTACAGGACTGAGGAGCACACAACACATGATGAGGGAACGTATTAGGTATAAAGTAATTATAATACAATAAAACAGTTTTTTTCTATTCTACAAGTTGGGGGTGACAGTGGCTCAGTTGGTAGAGCCTTGGCCTACTTCACGACTCCCACTGATGACCGCTGCCGTTGTGTCCTTGGGCAAGACACTTAACCCCACTTTACCTGAAGATCTCAGCTCCTGTGGACTCAGCACCTGCAGGAGGATCAGTGAGGGGCTGGTGCTCAGTGTACTGGGTTCAGCTTCTACAAGTTATGAAAAATAAATTCCAAAATAAAAGTTTAAGATCAATTAAATGTTCTTTAGTCCTTTGGTAAAGAAAATCCAACACAACATCCTTCACATCATTTTGAACGCCCAAAATGAACGCTATAATTATTATATGTGTCCCTTAAAAACTGCGGATTGACTTCACTCCAGAGTCCTCCACCTGAGTTTCACCTTTTACTCAAGTGATGATGGGAAATTATACAAACCCATTTATCTCCAAGCACTTCCAACACTGGCTTTAGAGGCGGCCATTGAACTTTAGTTTTGAATAACCACAGTGCAGACCCAAATCATTTATAATGTTAAAATAATCTAACATGTTGATAAAGTCTGTTGGACCACACTATTGTTTCAGATGGCTCACATTCAAAGCACAAAATGAAACAATAAGATTCAGATGAAAAGATTCAGATGAAAAGATCCCATATTTGTCCGACATTAGGGAAATGTCAGTGTTGCATTACCACTTACAGAACAGTAGGAATGAGGAGAACAAGTCTTTACTAAAATTACATAAAATCTCTAAATTGAGTATATTAATCTTAAATTCAACATAAACTATACATGTTAGTAAGTTATTTGTATCAAAACCTGCACAAAATACAGTAAGATGCAAATACCGATTATCAAATAAAAAACATGTCACCAGCTTTTGAAAAGTTTTCATGAATTCATTGCTGGCCTTTCATTGTTCACAAATTTACCATTTCTCTCCCATTTGTAACTTAATTTTGCTTGAAGTTGAGTCGATCTGTGGGACATCCATCCAGTTCACCTCATCCACAGATATTATGGATATTATTACAGATATTATTGAGACTTCCCTCTCCAAACAACTCCTGCAGCTCATCTGGGGGGTCCAACACACAACTGTAACACACATGTCGTGATTCCTATTTAATTCACATCTACAGACGTTCTGCTGAAGTCTAAATGTCAAAGCATATTAAAAAAACGTCATGGTCCAATTGCAGTGAATTGGTTTCATTGACATGCAACAAACCAGTACGGTAAGTAACAGTCACCAACAATAAAAACAATTCTAAAGCATCTCCGTTTTGAGTTTTCCCAGATGGAGCCAGTCCGTCCAGTGAGTCTTGGGTCTGCTCCTGCTGAAGGAAAACCCTTGGGGGGCGCTCGCTTCTATCCACAGTCTTGTCTTGGGGCCATTACCCAAAGCTCCTGGATGAGGGTGGGACACAGACAGATCGGTAAACGCTTTTGGACTCCACAGTCAGACACATCACTGCAGCCGAGCGTAAAGGGAACATCACAAACTAAATTGACTGTTCAAAGCTTTTGGATCGTGTTGCAGTTGTATTTTCCCTGTTCTTTAACCGCAGTCAAAAGGACTTTGTGTTTTGTCAGGAGTGATTCATGGGTATTACAGTATTCTATGTATTCAGTGCTATTTACAGTATATCACAGACACGCCATGGCCTGAGCACGCGACACACACAGCAGCTCTGCACCAATTTTGATGAAAGGGGGGGGGAAAATATCAGCTGATTGCTAACTTGGTAAGCAGTCTGAAGGGGAGCCAGCTGACTTTGATGTAACTCAGAGTCATAGATCATCATAACGTGCTCTTTAAGATAAACTCACGCTTGAAATGACTTTATCCTGTTTTTCAATCTTCTTTTAAGACAATTACAATTAAGATCAGTCTCGGGTTAGTTACTTGAAAGTTAGTTATGGCCTCAAGAAAGTAACTGAGTGAAATGATTTTAGGATTACTTTGGTTGCAATAAATGAATATACAATAATACATATATTTTTCATAAATATTTATATTTTGTTTTATTATTTTCAACGTAATGGTGTGACCCCACTTTCCCAACTTTTATTAATTTGCTGCTTCCTGAAAAAAAAAAAAACATAATTTTAAAGCCTGTACTATTCCATCAAATAATGTCAACAGTCTAAATCAAACAGTTGAAGATTTTACATCGTCAATTTTATAGATTTAAAGAACAATTAAAAAGATGATCAACGCACACTTTAAACCATTTTACTACAAACTATAAAGAACTAGATTTTGACCTTTTTTTTCCCCAAAACTCCTCAGAAGGTGCTTGAGGAATGGTGGATTTCTGGTCACGTCTCAAACGCTGCCACCGCTGAGCATGGTAACATTCTGGTCTCCGTTCTTCAACAATGGAACAATTGCTGGGGCTATTAATAGTCCGGCCTCAAAAGTTAATGAATTCTCGCGCCGCCGTCATTTAGCTTCAGAATCGTAAACACTTCTTCACTAAAGGTTTTTAATTGACGACAATGTGAAATGCATTGAACAATTCTGCAGAGATTTCCCAGGACTAGATAAACGGGAGTTATTATTGGACTTCTATTTAAGCCTTGAAAGAACTCTGTCAGCGGAAAAAAGTAACAAAAATACAGTTTAAAGAGCCCATATCACGGTTTTTGACTTTTCTCTGCTTTAAACATGATTACAATGCTATTTGGCCTTCATACACAAGCCTACAGTAGTTTATTCATTGACACCACATAGAGCTGCTGTTTTTATGCTTTTGTCAGCAACTAAAAGTGTTAGGATCACGTCAACTTGAATGAAGTGTGTTATGGGTGTAAATATGTGACACACTATTTGGCCCTAAGAGGAAGAAAGCGGCTCGACTTTTTCATCTGTTCATCTCATGGATCTATTATAATACCGGTTCATCTGCGACACTTCACTGAGACTGTTCCAGAACTACAGGGACAATGGAACTGGACTTACTCAAAGGCTGATCTGGAAACACGTTATTCCCACGGTAAAAGACGTAACTCGGACCCCCTCGATCTGTAAGTAGTGACGCTAACTCGCTGTATACTTCTGTAAACTAAATAACTAGGGTCTGATTGTGCATCGAGGACATAGGGCTCGATGTGACGGATTGTCATTGTTGGAAAAAGTTTATTCTTATGTATGAAATTACTAAGTACAGGTGATAAACGACAAAAACGTGATGCTACGTCACCGTGCGGGCGGGGGGAGGCGGGCTCACAGGCAGAGGAGCAGACTCTGGATCAGCTCGTTTGAGTCGAGGTGACGTCACCTCTATACAAGAGATGGCTCTAATCTCACAAGCTTTGATTGTTGTGTGGTGTATCACACACATTAATATCACACATGTGCATAGGATTGAGTGTGAAACATGAAGAAAAGCGTGATATAGGACCTTTAACATTGTATGGGGAAGCAGTTTTTTCAAATCCAGGTTAAAAACAACTGAATAACTTTATCTTTACTCTTTTCAATGCATCCATCCATTTTCTTCCGCTTCATCTGTTGCCGGGTCGCGGGGGGAACCAGTCTAAGCAGAGACGCCCAGACTTAGACACACACTTTTAATTGCACTTTAGCTATTTTTTATTTTAATCCCAGATGTGATTGTATTTGTTTTGTTTTTTAATATTTCTTGACATCTTAATGTTTGTTTTTAATACCCTGTGGGAATTATAATTGTGTTTTTTTGTGTTTATGTAGATTTTATGCTAGAAGTGATGTGGGTTGTGAGGCGCTTTGTGTTGCCTTGTGTAGTAAAATGTGCTGTATAAATACACATTACTTACGTACTTACTGGTAGGACGAACCGGAGCACCCAGAGGAAACCTATGCAGAAATGGAGAGAACATGCAAACTCCACACAGAAAGGTTTGGAGATGGAATTGAACCCAGAACCTTATTCCTTTTTTGAGTTGTCATTGTCATTGGTTTAAAAAGAATTATGTTGTGGATGCTCCAGAATACCAGAGCAGGAGGATTTTACTTATGATGCATGTTGTTGGGTGGTTGGAGAAACCGGAGCGCCTGGAGGAAACCCATCCAGACAGGAAGAGAATCATGCAAACTCCAGAGAGGTCTGGGCTGAAATGGGAATCAAACCCTCCACTTTCTTGCTGTGAGGTGTAAGTGCAATGTTGTTCACTTATTTAACTAATTGTATATTTCATTATTTTTATATATGTACATTTTTAAAAGCCTTCTATGGACAATGAAAGTTAGCATGGTCTGCTAAAACACAAAAGGCAGTGCTTCTGGTCTGTCCAATGTAACTGTTTTGTCAATATTATATAAATAAATAAAAACATATTCATTGACTTTGATCCAAGAACGTCTCCAGTTTGATGTGGATTTAAATTCCCGGAAATGTCCCACTTTACTGAGATTTTATTATTCACTTTTATCCATATTTATTTGTGATATATTACTCCATATTCTCAAACATTAAAGGCCAAACTAAATATTGCCAATATCATGTTTAATGGCCAAAAAATAGAAGGATTGGTCTCTTTCCATGTTGTTATATTGTGAGGATTTGTCGCAGCTGTGTCATCGTCCGAGATAGAAGCCATTTTGTTTTTAGTTCTTTGTGTTTATGGCCATTGTTGCTGTGTTTATTTTCCTTTTTGACATTTTCTGATTCCACACTGCCTCTTGGTGAAAACAAACAATGATTATGGAAACTGTAAATACTTGAAAACACTTGACGCATAATTTATCATGCACTTGTGGGACATGACAATGGTTTTAAAGGACGGTGACCTAAACTGTGACGTGACATCACAAAGGACTGATTAGTTACTACTATTGTAGCCACGGCTGCCCTGGAGCACAGTGACACATGAACCAGTATGAACCATATCAACCACCACCAATCATTCACACACACACCAGACGCATTCCAGGCAATGTGGGTGAAGTGTCCTGCCTGAGGACACAAAGCCAATTCGGCACTTTACAGCCGCAGCCGCCCCACTGTGGCTCCTGGTGTTCCCAGAGGTCTCCCATCACAGTACTAACCAGGCCCTGCCCTGCACAGCTTCAGAGTCACTTGTGGGAGTAAATATGTAGTCAGCAGCATCATGAGATATTTACAGATATTTATATTGGACTTTAGCAGCAGAAAAACAGTAGTGAAAATAGCAGCAGGTAAAGTGACAGGTAAATGAAGTAGATATCTAGTTATACACACATTCTTGATTATGTGTCATCAAGTTCTAAATGATAAACAGATGAACTTAAATCATGGGATTCACTTTTCCAAGAAGTTTAAAGCTATTATATTGAACGGCTACATGAACTCAGAATATTGATGTTTATACCGTTGCTCTTTTGCCGAGTGCACTTTAAAAATAGTAGACATTATAAGCATTAGCTTCAGCCGACTCTTTTTCTGTCTCTCTGTCTGCTGAAAATGTACTGCTCTGTAATGATGTGTAAAATTTGAAATGAGCTAAAATAATCTCCATTCATTCCAGTCCATGTCCTCCGGCAGTGGCAAAGCTTCCGCCACTTCTCTATTCTGATCAAACGTCAAATGTCAGATGTGCTCGGTGTGGCTGCCGGATCGGTCCCGGAAACAGGATTGGTCCGGAAGTTCAGTTTGCGCATGTCAAAAAGTGAAAATAAACAGTTTGTCTTGTTATATACAGATTACAATATTAAGGTTTATTACAAGAATGGCGGAAAAAGAGCTCAGAGAGAAAAAATACTTTTAGCAGCCGCGCCCAGATGCGTTCAAAGGAACACGGAAATGAGGCAAACACAGACAGTTTAATTCTTGATTAGATTCACTGTCTCGTACATTCATACATTCATACATAGTCAAGTCTCGTCGAACACATTCATTTATTAGTTAAACAAGCAAAGGACAGTGAATCTAATCAAGAATGGGCTATATGCACGGGGAGGCGTGACGTCATTTCCTGTTAACAAAGCACGGCCCGTTCACTTCCTGCCTATGCTATCCTATGGCTTTT